CTCATGTTACCCAACTCTCAAGGCTAGTTTTATATCCTGGAAGCTGCCTATTCCTCTCACGCTTATTCACGAGAATTTAACCGGCGCCTGCTCTGCATCGTCCTCTCCACGATCGATCCTTTCAAGACCGCCTGTGGCGCCATCCTTCTACCTCTTAGACTCGCCCCTTTTCGGAATTTTGCCAGTGCCGCGCCGACAGGGGCTTCGACGCCAGGTCTGTGGGTGGGTTCGGGTTCGGGTTCGGCTGGGGTGGGGGAGCAGGGGGGGAGGCCGGTGGGAGGTGGTAGGGTGGGCAGTTATGAGAGTGGGAGTGGGAGCGGGAGTGTGAGTGCGAGTGCTGGGTCGGCGGTGGAGGGTTCGCAGCAGCAGCAGCAGCAGCAGCAGCAGCAGCAGTACCAGCAGGGGGGGGCGGTTGATTTGTTGAGCGGGAGTGTTGCTGGCGCTGGGGGCAGGCAGCCGCTTGTTCCGCCGACGCCGCCGGCTCAGGCTAGCGGGACGAGGACCGGGAGGAGTCCGTTGGGGAGGGCTAGCTGGACACGCCCGGTCACGAGGGATGAGGTGGAGGCGGAGATTGTGGACTCACATGCCTACGGGCAAGCAGAGGATAGCTGGTCTTCGTCGAGGGATGGGCAGGGGAAGAGGGGGAGGTAGGTAGTCGTGGATGGGAAAAAGGGGGTGGGGGTGTCCGAGCATGGGATGATGAGAGTGCTGACGAGTTGATTCAATGGCAAACGGTGGCATCTTTTTTTCCTGCATTTTGATGAGACAGGCGCGGTGGCTATCATTCATATAAATTGTCGTTTAGAGAAGGCAGATACCACATGGCACACATATGCAGTTACGGTTCGATCTTATTCTGTTCGTTTGTTAGTTTGGCGGTCGTGATATGTGGTTATGGCCAAGTAAACAAAGACCCTGGCACCAGACGATATCTACACAGTAAATAAGTTGTTTATTCATCCCGCCACTACTGTGTACACTAGATCAAACCTGCAAAGCTGACAACAACCACCCTCCCCTGCTGAGCCTCAGGCGACCCGCGAAAGAAGCTTTCCCTGACTGCATGGTCGAAGTCCTGAGTCGTACAAAGTCCTAGGGTGTCCCTTTGGCCGGCAATCATTACGTATTGGAGTCCAAAACCCGTGGGTCCTTGAGGCTGGGCATGACAAAAAGGAACAGAAATGGTGCAATTGGGCACGGCATCTCAAAACCAGATGCTTTCGTTGGTCCGGATGCTCCGAGAAAAGCTGTTTTGTTGATTGTGTTGGGCATCCATGCTGGCCGGATTTGAGTAATGTGCTCGATCCCGACGGCGCGGTCGTGTTAGTTGTTAGTTGACAACTACTTGAAGACGAGGAAGTTGGAAATAACACATGCTACAAAGGATTGTCTCTGGTGTGAATTCGGGCTGGAATGAATGGCAGTGGGCAATGGCGGGGCAGTTCGCAGTTCAAAAAAAAATAATTGCGGAGGGGCTGTGCTTGGCGGCGTGTCAGCGGTGTGTGGACGTTGGCGGCAAACTGTTCAAGGTGGGGTGATAGGAGCACGCCCTGGCGTTTTATAGTTGATAAAGCTTATCGAAGAGATGTTGGCGCTTGCCCCTCGACTTGGCAAGAGCGGGCTGAAAGGCGGCACAACAACGACCAGGCAACACAACAACTGCCCATCTGTTCCAGACAAAGGGCCCTTACAACCAGATATGTATGGAAAAGATAAAAATAAAAAAAACCGCTTGTGATTAATTAGCCATCCCTGCGATCCCAAGTTCTATCTTCAAATTATCTGCGTGAAATAGGAACATCAAACTGCATTGTGAACAGGTAACAAAGTCTCTCTTGCCGTCCATCTCAGGCCAATCTGGAAGCTTCTCCCAGGTTCTGGCATGTCTTGGCTTAGGCCTTGACGCCATGGTGCGGGGCTAAATGCCGCCCCATAAGGCCCCATGGAGGGGAAACCCGCCCTCGAAGCACAGCAGAGTCGGTCGGGCACCTAGGTCTGATTTTTTTTCTGCTTTGCCTGCCAACTGCACTCTCAGCACTTTCAGCGATACTAGATTCCCCTTTCTGCACCATATACACCATTCCGTCTCTCAGACCCTGCAGCTTCGCAGACCAACACCTCAAGCCACATACATCGACACTTTTAACTCAGCTGGTGAGCGCCTCCCCTCCATCGAGTTGCGACTTGCCCTCTACTCGTTTCCCGATCGATTTGTTTACACAATACCCGCTTCTGCTAGTGCCCCTCACTTTCCGCCCAACATGAGTGTCGTCGGTAAGTTTGCGATAACCACTCCGTCCGATCCCCTTTTCATTGTTGTCGAAAGAACACAATGTTGACTTGCAACCTGTCACGCAGGTGTCGATTTCGGTTCCCTCAACACCGTCGTCGCCGTCGCGAGGAATCGGGGTGTCGATGTGGTACGTCAAATTCCCTCCTGCTGCTTCTATCATCATACCTTGCAATACCTTATCGGGTTATGCGCCTGATATACACCCATGTGGAAAGCAGCCAAAAGAGGCATACACTCTAACTATGCGGCCCTGTAGATTACCAATGAAGTCTCCAACCGGGCAACTCCGTAAGCATTCCCGGCCCCCCCCCTCCAGACTCAACTTCATGGCCAGCAGCGTCTAACTTTATACAGGTCCCTCGTCGGCTTCGGACCCAAGTCTCGCTACCTCGGCGAGTCCGCAAAGACACAAGAGATCTCCAACCTCAAGAACACCGTCGGAAGCCTAAAGCGTCTTATCGGACGCTCGCTCAAGGATCCTGATGTCCAGATTGAGCAGAAGTACGTGTCGGCGCAATTGGTCGAGATCAATGGCCAGGTCGGCGCCGAGGTTCAGTACCTCGGCCAGAAGGAGCAGTTTACCGCGACACAATTGGCTGCCATGTTCTTCAGCAAGATCAGACAGACTACCGCCGCCGAGATCAAGCTTCCCGTACAAGAGCTCGTCATGAGCGTGCCCACATGGTTCACCGACGCCCAACGCCGCGCCATCATCGATGCTGCCGAGATCGCCGGCCTTAGGCTGCTCCGCCTCATCAACGACACAACTGCCGCCGCCCTCGGCTACGGTATCACCAAGCTGGACTTGCCTGCTGCCGACGAGAAACCCCGCCGTGTCGCCTTTGTCGACGTTGGTTACAGTGACTACAGCTGCTCCATCGTCGAGTTCAAGAAGGGAGAGCTCGCTGTCAAGGGCAATGCCTACGACCGCCACCTTGGTGGCCGCGACTTCGACCGCGCCCTTGTCGAGCACCTGCAGAAGGAGTTCCTTGGCAAGTATAAGATCGACATCTTCAGCAACCCCAAGGCTCTGACCCGCGTCTACGCCGCCGCCGAGAAGCTCAAGAAGGTGCTGTCTGCCAACCAGCAAGCGCCCCTGAACATCGAGTCGCTCATGAACGACATCGATGTCCGTGCTATGATTACGCGCCAGGAATTCGAGGCCATGACCGAGCCCCTGATCAGCCGCATCGATGTCATCCTGGAGCAGGCCCTTACTGAGGCCAAGCTCAACAAGGAGGACATCGACATCATCGAGGTCGTTGGCGGTGGCAGCCGTGTGCCCGCCATCAAGGAGCGCATCCAGGGCTTTTTCAACAAGCCCCTCTCCTTCACCTTGAACCAGGACGAAGCCATCGCCCGCGGCTGTGCCTTCAGCTGCGCCATCCTATCCCCCATCTTCAAGGTCCGCGATTTCGCCATCCAGGACATCATCAACTACCCGATCGAGTTCGCCTGGGAGAAGGATGCCGACATTCCGGACGAGGACACCAGCCTCACTGTCTTTAACAAGGGCAATGTGATGCCCTCCACCAAGATCCTCACCTTCTACCGCAAGCAGGCCTTCGACCTGGAAGCTAGGTACGCCAAGCCCGAGGGTCTTCCCGGAAAGGCCTCTCCTTTCATCGGCCGCTTCTCCGTCAAGGGAGTCAAGGCGACCGGCGGCCCGGAGGATTTCATGATCTGCAAGCTCAAGGCCCGCGTCAACATCCACGGTGTCTTGAATGTCGAGAGCGGCTACTACGTCGAAGACCAGGAGGTGGAGGAGGAGATCAAGGAGGAGGGTGATAAGAAGGACGGCGATGTGAGTATTCTTATGCAGTCTAAAAACGAGCCCTCATCCGTGGCTTCCGAGCAGATGGGCGCCGGCGAACAGGAGGAGACTTCCAATAGGGAACCGAAACGTCGCAAGACCACGGCGCCTGTTTCTGGCGAACCCGAGGCTGTGGCAACTGGTGAAGATACAAAGAACAACGAGCTGACCAATGATTTATCGCACAAGGCCATGGACACAGACGCCAAAGACGAGAAGCCCAAGACTCGGAAAGTCAAGAAGCAAGTCCGCAAGGGCGAACTGCCCATCGTCAGTGCCACCCACTCCCTCGAAATCGCTACCAAGAACGCCGTGTCGGAGAGGGAAGCCGCCATGGTCATGGAGGACAAGCTGGTCGCCGACACCGAGGAGAAGAAGAATGAGCTTGAGACGTACATCTACGACCTCCGTAACAAGCTGGACGACCAATACGCCGAGTTCGCCAGTGACGAGGAGAAGGAGAAGATCCGCGAGAAGCTTTCAGCATCCGAGGTACGTCTGGGCTACAACCCCCCTGCGCCCACTTGACCTCTTAAGACCACGGCTAACAGCAGTGACAGGACTGGCTCTACGACGAGGGCGACGACACCACCAAGGCTGTCTACGTTGCCAAGATGGACGAGATCCGCGCTCTGGCCGGCCCCGTCGTCCAGCGCCACTTCGACAAGGTCGAGGCCGACCGCCAGGCGCTCATGGCCAAGCTGGAGGCTGAGCGGGCGAAGAAGGCCGCCGAGGCAGAAGCCCGCAAGGCTGCCGAGAGCGACAAGTCCCAAGACGGCGCTAAGGACGAGGAAATGACGGATGCTGACGCAACCAAGCCCGACGTTGAGGAGGCTGGCGACCCGTAAAGGAAAGATAATATCTCCTAAAAGAACCTCGCTTTAACGACTTTCGCCTCCTTTTTTTTTCTCTCTTTCTCTTCTTCCGGATGCGGATGTGAGGGCGCTCAAAAGCCCTTCACGGGGCGGTCTTTTGATAGATGGGTCACATAGGAATACGAAGCGAAAGCATGTATTGGGCTGGGCGACCATGATAAGTTCTGTATGAGGGGTCGAGATAAATGATGTGTGGAAAAACGGGCCGAGACGAGACGAACAGCTGCATAACAGAGACAGAGCTTACGACAGAAACGCTTAACCTTATAGTAGTTGGGCTGCGGGGGGGAAACTAGTAGAGAAGTTGTTTTCCACAGAAAGTTCTGGGCCAGGATTTGATTCAACTGAGACTGAGGACTACCACTCCACCCTCATTGCATCGCCGATATTTTGCAGCTCCCTTATAATTTCCTTGTGACAATGTACGCGCAACAACGCGGGACTGCAACATGGCAAAGACATAGCTGTATTGATGCAATGCATGGCCTGCCTAAGATAGTACATCAATAAGAGTAAGGTAAAACGTGGCACCATATCGCCCATCCCATCCTCCACAGCAGACCCAAGTCTGGAAACAAATCCCCCCGGTTTTTTGTTTCTCCATTTTGTCCCCCCCTCCCTCCTTACCTACCTTCCTAACCACACCCAACTAGCCACCCAACCAACCAACCAACCCCCAACTCAACCAATCTAGGGGATATCAAACATGGGCTTCAGCTTGATGATGAGCTGCCACTCGTCGTTGGTGACGTCGGCGCGGTAGAACTGCTTGAGGGTGTCGATGCTGGCGCGCGAAATCTGCGAGTAGAGCATGTCCTTCTCCTCGAGCTGGCGGCCGTAGGTCGGCTGGTGGCCGCCCATCTCGATCTTGACCGCCACCGAGGGCTGGCCCTTCTTGCACACGGGCACCTGCTTGTGTTCGCGCTCGATGGAGGTGCTGGGAACAAGAAACAGGGGTTAGTATCAAAGGTTTAGTAGGGGAGGGGAGGGGAGGGGACGTACACTCTGCCGATGTTGATGATCTCTTTGAGGCCTGTCGTGGGGTTCGGCTTGATGACGGAAATGGGCGTGTTGAGCCTGAGGGAGCCCTCCACGACGTCGACACCGATGACGATGGGGTTAGTCTTGTTGAAGACGGCCACAGGGCTGAGAACACAGGGGAAGACAGCCAACATCTTGGACTCCTCCTTCTTCTTCTCGTTCTGCTCGTTGATGTGCTTTGTGAACGAGTCGAAGAGATGGTAGATAATATCCGCGGTGAAGATCTTGATGCCCTGTTCATCGGCGTACGCCTGCGCTTCCTTGTCAACCTTGACATCGAAGCAGAGCATGACGGCAAAGTCGGGAGACTTCTCCAACATGGTACCGCACTGCATGACGTCGCGTTTGAAGACGGGGCCGATGCCGACGTTGGCAACGGGAATCTTGCAGCTCTTGAGGAAGTCCAGCAGGGCTTCGAGGGAGCCGAGCGTCGACGCCTGCACGCTGACACCGCGACCGGACTTCTCAACTCGGCTGAACAAGCTGGCGAGATCGGATTCGACTTCGTCCTCGAGATCCGACTCGTCATCATCAGGGCCGAGGACGAGTAGCCGGGAACCGGCAATAGCACCCTCGAGCCCCGGCGCGCTGATCTTGACACCCAATGCGGCCTTGACCTCCTTGTTATGCACGTATTGTGACTTGAGACGGAGTTCCTTGAGCGGTGCAGGCGTGAGTAGTGCTCTGATATTTGTCTTGATGACCCCTTCTGTACCGCAGAGGATGATGCGGTCGCCTTCCCGGAGGATACCGTTGGACAGGATGACATCGATGGTCATGCCGAAACCCTCGATAGCCTTGACCTCAAGGACGGTGGCCTGCACCTCGGAGAGATACATGAGCGAACCCACCATCCTCTCTTGGGTGAGGTGGATGATGAGCTTGAGCATGTCGGGAATACCCTCGCCGGTGTGGGCCGAGGTGGGCACCAGAGACACGAATTTGGCCATCGACTTGTTCTCGTAGAACAGCTCCGAGTTGAAACCCTGCTCGGCAAATGCCAGCTTGGTCTGCTCAAGGCGGTTCTTGAACTCGTTCTGCACGGCCTTGTTCTGCAGCGCCAACGACTCCTGGAAGCCGTTGTTTTCGATCTTCTTCCAGCCGTACAGACGATCGATCTTGTTGAGAGCGACAATGAACGGTGTCTTGCGCTCACGCAGCATTCTCATCGACTCTAGGGTTTGAGGCTCGAGACCGTGCATGATATCGACGACCAGGATAGCGATGTTGCAGAGCGACGAACCACGAGACCGCAGGTTAGAAAAAGACTCGTGCCCAGGAGTATCGATAACCAGGAGACCGGGCACCTTGAACTCGAACTTGCCATCAGTATTGACGACAGCCGTCTTCTGCCTGATGGCCTCAACGGGGAAGTAAGTGGCACCAATCTGCTGAGTGATACCACCAGCTTCGCCCTCCTGAACGTTGGTCTGCCGGATCTTGTCGAGCAACTTTGTCTTGCCGGTATCGACGTGCCCGAGAATGACGCAGATGGGCGACCGCAGATTATCCTTTGAACGCGCAGCCAGCGCAGCTTGGTGAGCCTTCTCGCGGCGTTCGGCCGCCTCCTTCTTCCTCTGTGCTTCAGCAAGCCGGGCCTGGGTCTCCTTCTCATCTTCCTCGGATTCCTCGTCGGATTCCTCCTCTGATTCTTCTTCTGACTCGTCCGCGGGCTTTGGTCGAGAAGGCAGAGCCTTTGCCTTACCATTGGCATCGGCCTTCTCAGCCTTCTCGGCCTTCTCGGCCTCGTCTTCGGTATCGGCATCCCAGCTGTCCTTGACGTCCTCCTTCTCCGACTCGGCAGCTGCCTCCCAATCCTCGTCCACGCTCTCCTCGGCGGCAGCCGAGGCCTTTGCGGCAGCCTCAGCTTCAGCAGCCTCCCGCTCGAGGCGGGCCTTCTCTTCGGCCTCCTTGGCAGCAGCCTCGGCCTGCAACCTCGCGCGCTCAGCGGCCTCTTCCAAGATCTTGTCTTCGTCAATCTAAACAGCAACAAGTTAGCGTCCACGAGCTCAAAAATATAATCAGATAACGGGAAGTATATACCTTTGTCCGGCCACCGCGTTTCCTCGCATCCGCCTTCTTCTTCTCCTTTTCTTTTTCCTTCTCCTTCTCCTCCTCGCCTTCCTCGAGCCCGCCAACCTTGATGCCGGCCGCAATCATCTGCTGCAGCTTGCGCTCATTACGGGCCTTCTCCTCCTTCTGTGCCTTGGTCATGTACTTGCCCTCCCGCTTAAGTTGCTCGATGCGCTCTTTCTCCTTCTGCTTCTTGCGTGCCTTCTCTTCCTCCCTCCGCTTCGTCTCCTCGGCATCCCGCTTCATCTCCTCCTCTATCCTAGCCTTCTCCTCAGCGCGGAAACGCTCCTCTTCCTCTTGCTGGCGCCGGAGCTCTTCCTGCTGCTTCTGTAGGGCAAGTAGGTGGGGAGGGAGTTTCTTCTTCTTGCCGCCCGTGTCGGCGGCGGGTGCGGCGGCGGGTGTCTCGGCCTTCTTCTCCTCGACGGCGGCCTTCGCGGGCTCGGCCTTGGCTGGGGCGGTCGCCTTCTTCTTCGCAGCCTTTCACGGGGGTGTTAGCTTGAATGAAGTATGTGGCCGAGGCGGCTGTGCGTATCCTACCTGCTCCTTCTTCCGCTGCTTCTCCCTCTCCTTTTTCAGCTTCTCCTTCTCTGCCTTGGTCAACACCCTCCCTGAATCATCTGCCTCCTCATCCTTCGCGGCAGCCTTCTGGTTTTGTTGCTTTCCCTTGCCGCCCTTGCCCTTCTTATCTGGCAGCGCAAACTCGTCCTCGATATTGGCCTCCTCGGCCTGCTTGGCGGAGAGGTCCGGCAGGGTGAGAGTCTCGGGGAGAGCGTTGGGGGTATCCTGGCCATCGTCGGCAGTTTCGTCGACGAAGCCCTTCTTCTTGCGCTTCTCCTTGTTTTTGCGCATCAGGTTCATGAGACCACCACCGCCTGCGGATGTCTCCTCTTCGGCGGGGGCGTCGGCGGCGGGTGAATCAGCGGCGTTGGCCGGGGCGATGCTCTCGCCGAGCTCGGCCTCCCAGTCGTCGCCACCCTTCTTGTTGCCTTTCTTCTTGGGCGCCATCTTGAACCGTTATTGTTTCCAAATTCGAATCGTCTCTGGCGGAGGGATCTTCTTTATCTCCGGCTAGATGCTCGTGATCTTTTCAGGTTGTCCAAATTCCGCCAAAGGAATGTGAAATATGGAACACCTGGTTCACGACACGAATAGAAGAGACCGTATGAAATTTCGGTCGGTAAAGTGTGTAAGGTCGTCTAGGACGATGGGTTACGAGTCGTGGAGATGAGGACTGGCGGGGCGGCTCACAGCAACAAAAAAAAACGGTACAGTAGGGGGGGTTCTTGGGTCGAGGTCAGCATACCTGGTGCTTGGTAGGGCTTGCGGGTCACTGTGGGCTGGCCGGCTTAGTGCGGGGCAGCCTGGGGCGATAACAAACCTTATCAGCCTTTTGGTCTTCTTTCGACGAAACCACCAACCGTCCCTCAAGTCAACAACCTCGAGATGGAATGCTTCACAAATCGCGGATGCCACTTGCGCGAGCTGAAACGATACATAATACGAAGGAAGCTACCACAAAGAGCTTGATGTAGTCTACCGGGCAGGTTTGTCGGGGACTTGTATGCTGGCTGATTTATTGTACATATGAGGCAACCGAGGGGCAAATATTGGAGGGAGTTAGTTGATGTTGATGGATGAGCGGCACAGACAAAACAAAAGCTAGGTTGAGCAGCCGGGTTTTGTGGGCACATACCTGAATTTAATTTATTTTGTGCCTCAGACAGGAACTTGAAGCAGAACTACATTCGGGCAATATGACAATGCTGGAAGGTAGTCACATCTACTTCTTTTACTCATGTGTGCATTCTACCTACCTACATGCACTAACGAGCGCTTAAGAGATGTCAAAGGCACACACGGATATTCCCAAAATCACTCAACCCACCCCTTTTGAACGCCTCCCTCCCCCTTTCCACAATGCCCTCCCTAAATGCCAAGCGACAAGTAATACTCCAGGACCTCATACGCAAGCCGGAAGTACTTAGCATGGTCGCCCTTCTCCGCGAACCCCTCGGTATACCGCCCTCCATCCAGCGCCCTCAGGAACTTAGCAAGCCTCTCGGCATGCTCATCCTTGCCCACCAACAACTCCAGCACCCTCCTCTCCAAACACCGGCGCAGAATATCCCCATCCACCTGCATCTCCCCGCCACCCCCCGGCGTAGGCTCCGACCCCCAATCCGGGTCCTCCACTCCATCATCCAAGCCGCGCATGCGCGCCACGCTCGCCCCGAACGGACACACGAAGGGCTTAGCCATCGCGAGGTTCTGCACAAACCGCAGCAGCCGCCAAGCCTCGATGCTCAGCAGCGTGAACCGGTACAGCGAGCCGTCGAGCGCCACGCCCAGGATCTCGGCGTCGTCCACCGTCGCCGGCAGGCGGCCGAAGCGGGGCCGGCCGGACAGCTGGTCCCAGACGGGCCGGGTGCGGCCGCGGCAGAAGCGGCGGATGGATGACGGCAGCTCGGCCTCGAGCACCACCTCGCACACCTTGTTCTGGGACTGCCACGGCACCCATAGTGCGGCGACGCCTCGGCCGCGTTCCGATACGAGGTGGATGCCGCCCGCGATGTCGTAGTCCGTGGTTGTGGATGTGGTTGTGACCGTGCTCGTGCTCGCTTCAGTGTCCGTTTGTGTTTGTGTTTGTGTTGGTGCCGGCGAGCCGGCGACCTCGATGCAGTCGAAGGCGCTTCGCCGCCAGGGGTCAGCGAAGCAGGCCTGGGCCTCGGCCGTGCTCGTGCCCGGGTCGATGTTATCAAAGATGACCAAGGAGTCGTGGTGGGTTAGGGCGTGAAGCTTGCCATTGGAGATGCGCAGGCGCGTGGCTGTCGAGCTCAGCGATTGGCATTTGAGCGGCCGGAGCCTCTTTTCTTGGTGGTCTATCACTTCCCAATGAATCGTGTGGTGGGTGGAGTAGATGAGACCTTCGTCGTAACCGACGACGGCGTATACTGCCTCCTTGACGTCCTTCTTAAACCGCGTCCAGTAGCGGATCGTCGCGGGGCCGCCATTTTGGGGAGGTATTTTCTCGGTAGTGACCACGATCAGCTGGCCGCCCATGGTGGTGACGATGATGAAGTTCCAAACGTTCTTATCCCTTCGATAATTCCACTCTGTAAGCGCCGTGATCCGGTCGTCTTGTTTTCCCAAGCCCGCGATGTAGAACTGCATCACTCCCCTTTGATCGGTGGATTTCCCGATCTGTTCTCCAGTGTCAGGATTGATAAACATCAGATCCGGTCCCGCCCTGGCGTCAACCGCAACAACAAGACACTGCAAGAAATGGCAGTATATCACTCTGTTGGGCATCCCTCCTTTAACGGTAATGCTCCGATGGACCGGCCCGGGTTCTTCGTGCATCTCTGCCAGCAAGAGCCTTGACCCAGATATCATCAAGACCGTGGTAATCCCGGCCTTGCATGGCGTTTCCACGACCGTGGCATACTGGATGTGTGGTACGCCGGCCCCGAGTTTGCTGGCGTCTACCGGCCAAACGCGGAAATTGGTCTTAAGATCACCGCCGCCGCCGCTATAGCGACAGGCGAGTTGGCGAAGGCGAACAGAGACGAGGCTGTTGTCGCAACAGACAAGTATGGTAGCATGGGTTGCACCAGGCCGTTGACTGCAGCTAACAGTGGCTGGTGTTGTGCCGAACTTCTCATCCTGGATGGAGATAGGGTCGGCAGTATGCTTCACCGTTATCATCTTTCCGGTCCGCGTGCCTAGAAAAACGGTATCCCCGACCGAGGTGATGCTTTCGATGCCTTCGACCAAGGGCGCTTGTTCCAGTCCGAGACTCGCATCATTATCTGACACGTCTGCGTAAGGTTAGCATGCCAAGTGAGCACGTTCCGGGGGGGCGGAGGCACAAGGTGGAAATCCAAGGAGAAGCTTACACTTTGAGAGGTCGATCATGCGAAGACCATCGACAGGTTCTTGCAGTGAGCCCCAAGCCATATATGCCTGGGTGCCGGTCCAAATCCCGGCGAAAACGGTGCCACCAGGGGCCAGGGCAAGGCAGGTGACATCGCCGTCGACGTCGACGGTCCGGACGTGCGTCAGCGATAGGTTTTCGAGGTCGGCTTTAAATAGATGGATCTGAAACCGAGTGCCCGCAGATGTTGACAGAGCAACGAGGTCTCCAAGAACACAAGCGTCGACGAGGTGACGATCCAAAAGCCCAGGGAGAGATTGATATCGCAACAAGATGCTATCCCCTGGTCAGAATCGGACGTCCATGAATTTGGGGTCACACGCTTGGATGGTCCATACCTTCCATGGTGGTTGGTCAAAACCACGGCTTCCTGGGTGACCTGTATCGTCATTTGGTTATGGCTCACTAGGATCAGTGTGCTAGAAGACAGGTCAAACGGTATGGTCCCGTGGCCGGGGACTGTAGCACCGGAGAAGTCTGCGGCCAAAAGCAGGGCTGCAGTAGAGTCGGGCTTAGAGATTAGCAGTAGATAGCCCACGACGTAGGGCGGGTCAATGTAGGGTATAAGCCAAGCCTTTTTCATCTCGGGTCCGTATTCGAGATCCAGCCCGATATTGGCTTTCAACCCGTATCGGTATTCTGTAATAGAACCCGCTCTCCCGCCCTCGCAGGTCGCAAAAATGCGGTCCGGTCTCCGGAGTTTGGCTTCTTGCCACGGAATCATGACCTTGCCAGGGTGGTTTGAGGGGTGCCATCCTGTGAAGTCGTCGGTGGTTGTGAAGTCCACAACCGGTGACCAATTTGATATATATCCAAGGAGTTCTGCTGGTTGCCGTGGAGGGAGCTACCAAGGAGCCGTTAGAACGCTTGAAAAAAGACGTGTGAGGGGACTCGTACTTTCCAGCACCCCCCCGGGCCCGAGTGACTTCCGAGGACAAGCACATCGGTGCTGTGGTCAAAGATGCAAGCAAAAGTGTTCGATATGTTGCATGGGAAAGGATCCAAGGCGTGGCTGGCGAGGGCGCCGTCCTGGTCGGCTTCTAATAGAAGGACCACGCCATCTTCGCGGGCGAGATAGACGCAATCACGGGTCTTGTTGTAAGACCAGAGGCGAAAAGGCCTAGCCCACGCAGCCCATAATGGAGCCCCGCGTCCCCGATGGTTTCTGGTAGGGGGGCTCGCTGAGAGCTCGATGGTCTCGAACACGGGCGGCCCGTGCAAGCATTCGGTGCACAAGCCAATCCGGTCGGCCGATACGGCGAGGAAGGCCGATTGGATTGTCAAGGGGATCAGCATCAAAGGCATTTGAAACTCGACAGGCATGCGGTGGCCTTGTTTCTCTTCGGCAAATACCTGGTTCAAGTCGTCGCCGAGTTCCCACTCATAGATGACCGTCGTCGACGTGGTCCTCGATCTGCGATGTTTGACGAGTACTAGCAACAGTATGATGTGGCTGTCATCTCCCGGCCGCGGATGTAGGAACGTCATCTTGTGTATGACCCCTGGTAGGCTACGAAAGCGGATAGATTTGATGACACGTAGGGGGTCGCCACGGAGATACATATTGTTCAGCTCGGTATACGATGCGAGTTCTGAAACGACGAACTGGTCCGTAGGGCTGGACATGTCACATGTATCGTGAGCTTGGCTCGACGTCTCAGGTTAA